CAGGAGAAGGCCCCATTTCTTCTGCAATGTTCCTGACAAAAATGTACAACTTCATAATCTGAATCTAATCGCGAGACACCAAAAAACAAAACACTGAGGATATTCTACAAAATAACTTGCTGAACAATTCAAAAATGACAAAGTCATCAAACACAAGGAAAGATTAAGGAATTATTCCAAGTTAAAAGGGTGTCCATGTGATAACTAAATGCAACCAACATGCACAGTGAGAAGGGTAAGGAAAACAGAAAAAGAAAACAAAAATAAAAACAAACAAATACAACCAATGATGTTGGATTAAAGCTCGAGGAAAAATTTTGCCACAAAGGACATTATTGGAACAATGAGGCCGGCAGATTAGTATTTCATCAACATTAACATTCTGACTTACACTTGCACAAAAGAATATACCTGCTAAGAAATACTCAGGCAGTTAGGGGCACATCCTATCTGCAACTTCCTCTCCAATGGTTCAAGAAAGAATGTGCCTGGATCATGTGGGAGGACAGGTAATGAAGCCCTCAGGGTAGATAGAGCCTGGATCATGTGGGAGGACAGGTAATGAGGCCCTCAGGGTAGATAGAGCCTGGATCATGTGGGAGGACAGGTAATGAAGCCCTCAGGGTAGATAGAGCCTGGATCATATGGGAGGACAGGTAATGAGGCCCTCAGGGTAGAGGGCCACCCACTAAGGAATCCTAGTCAGAGTAAACGGGAGTACTTTTCACTATTTTTCTAACTTTTTTATACCTTTGTGAATTTAGGGGAGAATTTAAGTCTGTGTAGTAAAATAGAATATTCCATATAAATAGTGTTAAAGTAACTGGCGACTCCAAATTGTATCTCAAAAACTCTCCAGGTAAGTTTAAAATCTTTTTTTTTTTTGAGACGAAGTCTCGTACTCTCACGCAGGCTGTAGTGCAATGGCGCCATCTTGGCCTCCCAGGTTCATGCCATTCTCCTGCCTCAGCCTCCTGAGTAGCTGGGACTACAGGTGCCCGCCATCATGCCCAGCTAATTTTTGTATTTTTAGTAAAGACGGGGTTTCACTGTGTTAGCCAGGATGGTCTCGATCTCCTGACCTTGTGATCTGCCCTCCTCGGCCTCCCAAAGTGCTGGGATTACAGGCGTGAGCCACCAAGCCCAGCAAGTTTAAAATCTTAACATAGAAATCAGACTAATATATTTAACCATTTAAAAGTTAAAAACGTATATTCAAACTCCCTAAAGAGATAAAAAGAACAAAGAAATTGAGGGGAAAATATCTGTAACATAATACACAAATACTTATTGTGCTTAAAAATGAAAGAAAAATCATCCTAGTGAAAATTTTTAAAATGGCTGGATATGGTGGCTCACTCTGTAATCCCAGCATTTGGGGAGGCCGAGGTGGGAGGATTGCTTGAGCCCAGAAGTTCGAGACCAGCCTGAGCAACACAGCTAGACCCCATGTCTACAAAACATTTAAAAAATTACCCAGGGGTGATGGTATGCACCTGTAGTCCCAGCTACTCACGAGGCTGAGGTGGGAGGATTGCTTGAGCCCAGGAGTTTGAGGCTGTGGTGAGCCATGATTTCACCACTGCGCGCCATCCAGCCTGGGTAAAAGAGTGAGACCCTGTTTCAAACAAATAAACAAAAAAAGAATGTTCTAGCTTGGAAGTCACCAAACAAATGCAGAGGAAGCCCGTGACGAAGTCACCACTGCTCCCCTGCGTGCCACATCCAGGACTCGTTGTTCTACACAGTGACTACAGCTGACGTGCTTCCCTGCGGCATCTCACACAATCCCACCACTCTGCGAGGCTGTACTCTTGCCCACCCAGGCAGGGAGAGAGATGAGCAGAGAAGAGAAGTCACCAGGCCAGGTCAGACAGCCAGAAGGGGCAGGGATGGGGGCTGACCCAGACAGGTGGACCCCAAGCCATGTGGCTCTAGGGAATAATAATGGTCATGAATAAATATTTAACAAGAAAATACCAGTTAAGGTTAAAATGGGGAAAAGCTAAAAAAAAAAAAAAAAAACAATGAAAACTGAAAAATAACCCAGGAGCTACTGAGTAAAATGACACAACACCTGTGTCATTACTGCTTGTGCTGGAGGAGCACGCTCAACGGTGGGGCTTTTAGAAACCTCACCAGGCACAAAGTGGGCCAGGCGTGAAAGGGGCAGCAAGCCACCATGGAAATGTGGAGACCAAACAGCAACAGCAGATTCTCCTTCAGGGGCGAGGAGGGAGACGTAGCTGCTGCTTCACACTTCTCTGTATTTTGCAAGTCTTGTTTGCAAAGAACCTGCTTTACTTTTATTACAGTGATTTTTAAAAGATGATCTGTTTTTTAAAAGGCCAATTTTCTAAATGTGGCTGAGGACAACTCGCGCCCACTTCACGCTGCACAGCAGACATGGCCAAGGGCCATGCCAGGCCAACAGAAGACCCTGAACACGGTGCCCTCCTAGCTGTACCTGTGAAGCACAAGAAAACCTCTGCACGGGCCGGGCGCGGTGGCTCACGCCTGTAATCCCAGCACTTTGGGAGGCTGAGACGGGTGGATCACGAGGTCAGGAGATCGAGACCATCCTGGCTAACACGGTGAAACCCCGTCTCTACTAAAAAAATACAAAAAACTAGCCGG